TGTGTGTGTGTGTGTTTGTGCGCGTGCGTGCGTGCGTGTGTGTGTAGGTGCGTATGCGTGTTCGTGTGTGTGTGTGTGTGTGTGTATGTGTGTGTTCGTGTGTGTGTTTGTGTGTTTGTGTGTTTGTGTGTGTATGTCCATCCGGCGTCTGTGATGTGGTGTTTAGGGTCATCACCGTTGCTCACAGATGAGGTGCTGTGAGTTCAGCTCCTTAATGAGAATTAGTAGTGGGCAAAATTCGGAAAAACTATGCGGATAAACGGATAATTGTCAATGAAACATCTGAATTCAGACTCTTAAACTCTCTTTCCTTACCCGTCTGACGAAGTGGGTGCACCCATTTGTTGAAGTGGTTCTGACCCGTTTGTCGAAGTGGTTCTCAACATAACACATTTAATTGTCGACCAGGTGCACTAACATAAAAAATATTATCCGGATTTTGCTAAAGTGACTAAATCCCGGAGTGGGATTTTCTCATGTAAAAAAAAAAAAAAAGATAAAAAAGAAACAAAGAAAACGGTACTTAGTATCTTTTCTCGTTGTTTACGGGTCGTCTGGGTTTTTTCAACATGAGTCAATAGTGAATTATAATGAAGAAGTAATCTTCAAAATTTAATTCCGTTTTGCGTTTTCATTTTCTAAATTTTTAAATGACCACCGCCTCCCCCTCCCCCTCTATTTTTGTCTCTTTTCCCGTTGTTTATGGCATGTTTCAGTCTGCCGCGTGTGTCTGTGGTGTATTATACGGAATGAGTATAAACTTCAACTCCGTTCCTGTGTGGGCTGTTTATAAATTTTTTTACCCCCCCGCCCCCCTCACCCTGCCCCGCCCCTAATGTCTTTTGTATCTTTTCCCATTGTTTGCGGTTTGTTTAAGTTTGTCAGAATGTATGGGTTTGTGTATCACAATGAATGACTAGATATCTATACTCAAGCCCTATTCCTGTGTGGGCTTTCTTTTCTTAAAGTTCTTAATCATACACCCCCCCTCCCGAAATATTTTCGTCTCTTTTCTCATTGCTTACGGTTCGTTTGAGTTTGTCAGCATGTCATGCCCGTTGTTTGTGGCACGTTTGATGTTTAATTTTGTCAGTGTGTGTCTGTGGTGTACCATACTAACGTATACATGTCCGAGGTCCCTGATATGTAATTTGAGACGTCTTCAGAAAGAAGGCTTCCACCGAAACACTGCATATTTTATATTAAAGCTTGTGGGTGTATATTTGTGTGTGTGTGTGTGTGTGTGTGTGTGTGTGTGTGTGTGTGTGTGTGTGTA